TAACATTATGAAATGTACTCACGCTATTTCGTTTAAGGTGGTTAGTTGAATTTAACCACGATGATATTAATAGACCTTACGGTTCCATTTAATTTTACTTATCCTTCCTTCCAAAAAGTTGTTCTCATCTAGGGTGGGCTAAAATTTCGAACTCGCTTTGGTCTTATCAACATTCTAGGCGTGACTCGATCCATCACAGTGGAGCTTGTAATTTCGACAACCATTACGCCACATTGCCACGAGTTCTCTTGAGTCACAAGGCAGATGTACATTTCAAGGTCGAAACTGCAATCAATCTTAAATAAAAATAACTTTTTGAAAGCAAGGATATGTGAAATTCAATGAAATTGTAAGATCTACCCATATCATTGCTGGAAAATTCAACTACCAATCTTTCATCATCTTAAACGTAATAGGGTGATTACATCTAATATATTTGATTAGGTGGTAGTCTTGAAACCCTACTTATAAATGAAAAATTCCTCAAATTGTTATAAAATAAAAGCTTAATTAAAACCCGATAAATATACTAAATTCCTTCTGAGGCGGAGACCTTAGCCATCATGACGCAAGACAAGAAGCAGCACTATTTTTATGGGTTTGCCATATCCAGCTTGCCGTCCAAGGTCTACTAGACAAGCTGTATAGGCTAGCATGTGTGCAATAAAACATGAGTATGAAAAAATAAAGAATAAAGCAGCAATAAAGGAGTCGAATGAATGAATTTACTACACACAAATAAAATATATGCAGGAGTTATGTCCCGTAATTTTCGATATGACAAAATGTGTGGATAGGTCAGTAGGGCCGTCGAGCGCCCGGTAGATCTGAAGCTGATGGCTTATTTTAGCAAGAGAGTTAATATACATTTTATAAATACAGGTAATTTAGTTCAAAAATCAATACTCTTATGCGAAGAAAAGTTGGGTTTCGAAAAATCTCTTGTTATATAATACCAATACTTTTAGTACATTTCTTTCACTTGCAAGTCTTCATATAACCAAGATTAGGGCCACATGCATATTGATAGACAGCATTGAGATAATAAAGTTAATGAGATGTATTCACCCTATTTCGTGTAAGGTGATGAAATAGGGTGAATACATCTCATTACACTGAGTTACTGGTAGTCTCGAAACCCTACTTTAATACGAAT